TCAATCTATCAATCAATCAATCAATCAATCAATCAATCAATCAATCTATCAATCAATCAATCAATCAATCAATCAATCAATCAATCAATCAATCTATCAATCTATCAATCAATCAATCAATCAATCAATCTATCAATCAATCAATCAATCAATCAATCAATCAATCAATCAATCAATCTATCAATCAATCAATCAATCAATCAATCTATCAATCAATCAATCAATCAACCAACCACCAACCAATCAATCAACCAACCAACCAATCAACCAGCCAACCAGCCAACCAACCTACCAACCAACCTTATTATACACCCACAGTTGATGTGCATACTGTTCATTGCACTCGGCCACCATGACAGTTCCTCTGCTGTTGAAGAGACAGTGATCGTCGCGTCGTATGCGGCCATTTTTATCGAGGAACCATAGCTAAATGTATCGTCACCATCATCGTCATAATCATTATCACCATCATCATCACAATCATCATCACAATCATCATCAATATCATCACCAAAACCCTAACCCTAACCCTAACCACAATCATCGTCATCATCACCACAATCATCATCACCATCGCAATTATCGTCATTATCATAATCACCATCACAATCATCATCATCATCGCAATCATCATCATCACCACCTGATTCCCGCCCTGTTGATGGCAAGGCCACAGGCCAACAGGTTTGTTGAGGGTGCTGGTTTCTGTCGAACTGTCGATGCACATGGGGAGGGGTGAGTTGGAACTACCCTGCACCACCCACGGTACGTTCACCCCGTTGCGTATCTGACGATGATGGTGTTGTGGTGTTGGGGTGACGATGATGGTATTGCGGTGATGATGATGGTGTTATGGAGGCGATGATGAGGCTGACTTGTTTGAAGACAATGATAAACATTCGGACGAGCAAAAATTCAGTCACATCATCGTCAATCCGTCACAGCATCATAACTTTACAGAGCACCATCACGTCATCATTACGTCATCCTCGTCGTCGTCGTCACCTCGCCAGTGCAAACAGAGTTCTTGGGGATGAACATTTCTGGATAGATGTTATCCAAGTACCACTGGAAGGAATGGCATCCGAGCTTCTGTCTGAGCGCCTTGCGATCACTCACATCGCCGTAATCACCCTGGTTGGAGATGATTTCATCATGATGATTATGATGATGATGATGATGATGATGATGATACGATGATGATGATACGATGCTAAAAGAGGAGAACGTGGAAATTGTAATGTGAATATAACGCTAACACAGATAAGGATTACAACAAGTGAATGAACAAAAGGAAGAACAAACAAACGAACGAACGAACAACAAAGGCACAAACCAACCAAATTATTATTAATCCTATCGTAGTACAGCTGTTTATACTCGTCCATCCAGACCTCGGCCAGTCTGACGGTATTCTTGACCAGCACGTTGACACCACGCCTCCACTCATAAGGGCTCCTGCTCCTGAAAATATGGCCGACGTGAGAGCAGACGATAATCTCCAGAGTACCGCCACACATCCAGACCTGCGTGTGCGTGTGTGTGTGTGTGTACGGTGTGTGTGTGTGTGTGTGTGTGTGTGGTGTGTATCTAAATACAAAACAATCAACCTTTCTGATATCTCTTCGCATAGAGGAAACTTTAAACAGGGAAATTTTTTTTACAAATATTGGATTCAGCAGTAGTTTTGAATAACATTAGATCAATAAAGGTCGATTTTTATAATGGATCAATGTGAAATTTCATTCACTCAGAAATTATTGAGCGAAAAAGAATCAACAGTGAATGAGAAGAAATAATTTTTTTTTTCAAAATTTTAAAACATGTAAGTGCATTAGAATTAGTAATTGGTGATCATTCGAACACACACACACATAAACACACATACGCCCACAGATATATATATATATTTGTGTGCGTATGTAAATACATAGACACACACACATACATACATAGACACACACACACACACACACACACATACAGACACACACACACACACACACACACACACACACACACACACACATACAGACACACACACACACACACACACAGACACACACACACACACACACACACATACAGACACACACACACACACATATACATACACATACAGACACACACACACACACACACACACACACATACACACACACATACATATAGAGCATTCACTCATCTATCCATTCATTTATCTAACTATTTATTCATCTATACATACATTCATTCATTCATTCATCTAACCATCCATCCATCCACTAATTTACTAACCTTGAAGGACATTTCCAGATTTTCAGCTCCCCATATATCCATACCGGGGTCATAGGACCCGAGATGTTCAAAGTATTTTTTATTGATTGAGAACAATCCGCCAGCCATGGTTGGTGATCTGGGTGAAATTGGAGTGATTATGGAGTAGAATAGTTCTGCATGGCTGGGAGGTTAAACAACGTAATATCTCCAACAACAGCAACAAAACGAAACCACCAGAACCACCAACAGTAGCAGCAACAGCAGCCACAGCAGCCACAACAAACCTCAAAGGATCAGCATCACTTTTCCTTGACTCGATATCTCTCTTTTGTATGGGGTGCCAATTGAATTGAAGGTTCCAATCGAAACCTCCAACACTGGTTGACTTGGCAGACGTATGTAAGTAGGAGAGAGTGGAATCACTGATGACGTCAATGATTGGAGTTACTACATTGGTCCAGTTCAGCGATATTCGATGGAGAAGCGGCTCTAACCAGCCTGTAAAGTGGAATTTTATTCATAAAAAGTTAAATTTTTCATCTAAAATGTTAGATCTTCGTAAAGAATATGTCACCAATCTTCACCCAGTTCTATATATTACAATTTAAAAGAACCTTTGATGGTAACCCAACCAGTTTTTTATTTAAGTTAAGAAAGATTTGGCTTTGGTTTAAACAAATGTGTTTAAAAATTCGTTCAAAAATTGAAAGCATGAAAAAAAAACCTGGAAGCTTAACAACAAAAACACAATGCAACACAAAAATATGCAAATATTTGGCAAACACCGTGATATGATTTTTATCAGACAAGTGTGAAATTTCTCACTAAGCATGCAGAAATTTTTAAACTATCACACCAAGAATAAATATTTTCCAACCCTTTGCACATTCACAGTGGGAATCAAGGAACGTGAGCACCTGTCCGCGGGCCACGGAGGCCCCCATAAGACGAGCCCTGATCAACCCCTGTCTCTTCTTACCCCTTAATATCCTTACCTTCTTCAATTGGCTCATGTACGCATCTAGTGGCTCTTTCAAGTGATCTGCCATTAATTTAATGTAATTATTTTTGTTTACTTTTGAAAATATTAGGCTGACAAAATAATTTTTTAAAGTTTTAAAACAAAAAAAATTGGCACATGTCCATTATTGCTTCAAATATCATTTCAAATAACTTTCAAACAATCAAATATAGTGTCTAAGATGAAATTTTTTCCTTTATATAAACAATATTTAAATATTCAACACGCGCACACACACACACACGAACACACACACATACACACACACGAACACACACACACAGACACACACACACACACGCACTCACGTACGCACACACACACAAACAAACATTAACACACACAGACACATATGCACAAGCTATAAAGAATAAAAACCCAGCTACCTTTATTAGAGAAATCATCAACTAGAATGATCTCTTTAACTAATTTGGGATGGGACCTGTCTAAAACACTGTGCACTGTTCTTAACAAGGCACTCCAGGCTTCATTGTGAAAGATTATAATTATACTTGTGTCAGGTAGGTTGTTGACATCGTATTCCAGTTTGAGGCAACTGTTTGTATGTTTGTGTGTGTGTGTGTGTGTGGGTGGGTGGGTGGGTGTGTGCGTGTCGTAATAAGTGGGTGTGGTGATTATGAAATGTACTTCAGACACACACGCCACAGAAAGATCATATACAAACAAAACTTTGAAGGATATTTCACACATTACTGAACAGATTTAACAAAATTTCATAGGTAAAACCTCACAATCCCACCCCCTCTTAATCAATTACTAACTCTCGGTCCCGAACATCTGGCAGCGTCCTATGCAGTGATATCATATCACTGGCCATCTGGTTGAATGCATTGTCGTCCCAGCCTTTTTTGAATGTTGCTTTCTCCTCTGGGGACATTTTGTTCTCTTTCAACTGCACTGCCTCGCCATTTTCTCCTAAAATTAGTAGAAATATTTGAAATACTATTCACACACACCTACTTTTATGTTAAAACTTACTGAGAAAAAAAAATCTAAATTAAGTAAACAGCAAATAAATAACTCTGCGAAAAACAAGAAACGGCAAAATTATAAAAATTAAAATTTTGCCACATTGTCAATGGAAAATAAAAAAAAAATGCCAATTTACCATGTTTAGCATTTCCAACTGGTTTCTCATCGAAGCCAGTCCATTTGGGAACTATCAAACCTCGACCGATAAGGTCAATTGTATCGGTGTCAAGGTCGCTGTATGAAGAATTTTTCGATAAAATAAAGGCATCTGACTGAACTAGAATGTTCTGTAAATGCAGAAAAAATATTTGTTTAATTTAGTTTAAATTTATGTATATTTTGAAAAGTGGATTTGAATTTATGTTTATAAAAAGATTGCCAAGTAAATATTGATAATATACATATATACTATATACAATAGACATACCTTCTCAGAAAAATTCTCATCTAAGACTTCATTTGCATAGCTTTTGAAGATGGTTTTATTATCTGGCAATAAAGAATCAATAAATTTTCCCCTCTGCTTTTCTAAATCTGTCTTCTTGATAAAAATATTTGAATGTAGTAGTTGCTGTCGCTGTGGCTGCTCCTTACCATCACCTCCAGCCCTAACTACTAATCGATTTAATTCGACATCTACATTTCTATTCATTTGCATAGATGGCAGAACGAAAATAACGATCCCCAAGACCCATATTATGAAGATAAAAATCAACAAGATGTAAATTTTACTCGTAATGCTACGCCTCAGAGCCATGTAAACAACTATCGTAAAGTGGTGAGAAAGTGAAGGTAATGTTCACTAATGTATGTGCATTCAAGTAGAAGTAAAAAATTGTAGAAAAATGACTAAATAAAAGTATGCTGAATAAATTAGATCTATATTACATTCAGTATAATACTCATTATATTAAATACAAATACTAAAGACATGCATGTATGTTGTATGTGCCGTATATTTCTTCATCCAGACATCAAAAAAGTTTCTATGCAATTGTGTTATTTCCTTATTATTATTAATACTATTTAATTTATTATTATTAGATTTTATTACTAGTAGTAGTAGTAGTAGTAATAGTAGTAGTAGTTGTTGTTGTAGCTGAAGATTTAATTTGAATGTAATGTGTCAATTATATTTTGTCTATATTTTTCATGGTAATTGTATTGATTTACCTAGATTCAAATCTGATTACACAATTACGAGTTATTACATTAAAACAACAATAGAGATTACATCATGACATTGACTTAATCATTAATTTATTTTCATCATAGACATTTCATTTCGTTGTTGTTTAAGGTTTATGTCAGCAAGTCTGCCTTGAGGACTTGAGTTGAGAATGTTGATGTCAAAGTTTTTGCATTGGAAGAAATGATCATTTGTATTGTACATAGAAAAAGAAGATCAGATCATTGCTTGGTTACTGAAAATAATTTTAAAGTGATATTATTGATTTAATTAATTAAATTAATTTAACCATATTTAATTATTAAATTAATTGTATACTAGGTGTACTGAAGTACAGCTTTACAGAGTACTGTACCACAAAATTAATAAACAAGTAGGTGGTAAGTTTAATTTAAAATTTCCATAAAATTAAAAATTAAATAAATATAAACTCGGATTAATTAAATCAAAAACTAACCTATACATATAAATCAAAAACGAAATACATATCTAATGAAAAAAAATTATCATCTCCAAACAAACTAAAAGTAACTCATTTTAAAAATGAAAACGTGTTCTTAAATTTTACGTAACGTAACGATTTTCAATAATTCATTTCAACCAAAGTAGACTTTTTTCTGTATTCAATCGTCGTCTTTATCTGCAATTTTCCGGCTTGAAATTCATAAATTTTTTTTTAAATTTTGCTTTAAAGTTTTAATAAATAATAATACAACAAAATTTACAAAACAATTATTATAAAACTTGAATTTGTTCCAAATTATCATAAAACAAAATAATTGTAACTTCAATGAGTTAGCAAAAGCAAACCATGAAGCCATTCAGATTTTATCACTACGAGATGAAATTTTCTGTCAAAGTTAAAATAGCATAGCATAATTATCAATTTGTAATAATATAGATAAATATTTATATAACCTTTCAGATCAAAATTTTTATTAACACTATCAAAATAAAAATAACGGTTTGTAAAACCGTTTAAAAGCGCTTTTGTTTTTTCGCACAACTCTTGACATTTCTGCGCGAAAGCCCAAGCGTCTATCTAGCCGAGACGTCCTTTTCCGGTTTGATCGTGAATCATGTGGTTCCCGTCCAAAGAGAGGAACGGTTCTCATTAGAAATTAGGATTTTTTCCGATTTTCCTATCAATTATAATAAAAAATTTGGATAGAGTTTAGTTTAAAACTACATTTTATGATCTAAAAAAGCTTGGGGTCGACTAATTTGCAAATTTGAGCCAAATTAAGTAGCTTTGCCGTTTATCATGAGAAGCAGTCGCCATTTGCATTTGTGATTTGTCTAAATTTAGTTTTAGCAATTTTAAATGGTTTGTTTTCATATTTATTCATTGATGATTCATGAATCTACAAAGAGTTTGAATTGTAGGACCACATTTTTATTTAATTTACTATATTATAAAATTATATAAAGATCATGTTAGGCGTTAACCCGTTAGGTCGTTAGGACATTTAATTAAATTAATGAATATATATTTCAGGAAGGTGGGCCAGAAGAAATGTAATGAAACAGAATGAAGAAACTTTATAAAATGATAAGTTTTTGTATCATACATTATGATTATGATATAAAAAAAAATACACAAACACGCTATTTATTAATTTAATTAATAAGGCTTTTAATTAATTTTATCTATCTGTGACTCATTCTTTTACGTTATCTCTCTTTTGATTTCATATAAATTTATATACTATTATAAAATAAACTTATATTCATACAACTCACACATACATATACTAAACAATATACATGTAGGTACACAACATGCACCTAATTAACAATGGTCTTTGCTGTTGTATCTTCTCCTTTTATGTGTTTTTTGTTCAGGTTCTCATCACACCCAAAACATTCCCTTTTATGTTTACCTAATACTATTTTTACATTTTTTCGTGCCTATATGTATGACTATATGTATAATTATGTAGACAGCATACAATACACAAATATTCATCAACGGTGTCCTTGTCTCTTTCTTTGGAGTCTTCCCCTCCATTTCTTCTTACAGGCAAATGAGTGTTATTAAGTTGAGTTACAAACTCACTTACTTATGTAAGTGAGTTTGTAATTAATGCATTATAGGTAGGTTAGGTTATGAGTGTAATGTAGTGATTGTAGGTAGTTAGGCTAAGGACTCTTTCTAGTTATTTTTATCTTCGTTTTTCTTTATATGTGTTTGTTTTTCATGCATCACAACATTACACAAAATTCTTCATTTATTTATTTATATATATTTGTAGGAGGCACAGGTTACTATCTATTTTTTATCTAGTTGTTTCCTTATCTTTTTACTATTTCTATCCGGCAGTGCTAGCTTGTCTTGATTTACCTTTCCTATTCTAAACTAGTAGTAGTAATGTAATGAGCCCATTCTCATGGCACAACACACAATATTAGGAAACATTTATGGTTGTAGATTTCATAGTACTATCAGCATGACATACCAATTTTGATGATGTTTTTCATTCAATATTATGATGGTGTCTTTTTAAATGTAGTTGGTAATTGGAATTATGATGATGAAGAGGATTAGGATGATGTCTTTTTAAATGTGATTTGTGATTGGAAGTAATGAGGATGGTGAAGATGTTTGTGATGATGTTATTTACAATTGTAATTAGGATGATGATGATGAAAATGATCAATAATAATAATAATGATATTAGTACTAATAACATGAACATTCATGCAGCGCTGATTCTGATCCAGAGATGCAGGTAGAATTGGCCAAAGTCATTAGTGCCTTTTTAAAAAGACTCCGTAGAAAATTCATTCCAGACACCTGTAGCTAAGTGGCATCTAGCAGAAGAGATGCTTAAACAACCAACCCAAAACCAGAAGAGTGATCTGTCATGCTCATGACAAAATATGAGATCATGTAGTAAATGTGTCAGGGATTTTATGATGACATGTTTACGAATGTGATGATGGTTGTGATGTATTTACGAATGGGATCGTGGTGAAGTTGGTTATGATGATGTTTATATGAATGTGATGATGGAGAAGTTGGTTATGATGATTTTTTTTTATGAATGTGATGATGGAGAAGTTGGTTGTGATGATGATGTTTTTACGAATGTGATGACGAAGAAGTTAATTATGGTGATGTTTTTATGAGTGTGATGATGGATAGGTTAATTATGTGGAATTTTACGAAATGTGATGATGGTGAACTTGGTTAAGATGAATTTTCTACGAATGTGATGATGGTGGACTTGATTATTTTGAATTTTTTACAAATGTGATGATGGTGAAGTTGGTTATGGTGATGTTTTTACGAATATAATGGTGGGGAAGAGGGTTAAGATGAAGTTTTTATGAGTGTGATGATGGAGAAGTTGGTTGTGTTCAATTTTTACGAATGTGATGATGAGGGCGATGGCTATGATGTTTTTGCGAATGGGATTATGGTTATGCTGAAGTTTTTGTGGGTGTGATGATGGAGAAGTTGGTTATGATGATGGTTTTAAGAATGTGATTATTTAGAAATTGCTTTTGATGATGTTTTTACGAATGTGATGATGAATTTGGTTATAATGATGTTTTTGCGAATGTGTAGATGGTTGTGTTCAATTTTTACCAAAATGATTATGGTGAATATGGTTGTGTTCAATTTTTACGAATGTGATTTTGGTGAAGATGGCTAAGATGATATTTTTACGAATGTGAAGATGGTTATGATGGTGTTTTTTACAAATGGGATGATGGTAAAAATGGTTGTGATGAAGTTTTTCGAGTGCGATAATGGTTGAGATAGCTATGTTGACATTTTACGAATGTGGTGATGGTGAAGAAGGTTATGATCAATTTTTACGAATGTGGTGATGGTGAAGAAGGTTATGATTAATTTTTATGAATGGGGTGATGATTAAGAAAGTTGTGATTAATTTTTATGAATGTTATGGTTATGTTGAATTTTTACGAGTGGTGATGGTTATGATAATGACGCGTCGACTTAACCGTCTATTAGGAGGTGCTTATACTATAGTTCGATTTTTTTGTATTGTGACCCTATCATAAGATTTTAGCTGGTTGTTTCTCTGGGATGGGCCGCACTTTGCTACGTAAATTTTCGTTTACTCTGTAATTGGTTTTGTCTAATTTTTAATGTGACGATGGTTTTTTTTATGATATTTTTCGAATGTGATGATGGTTGTGATTAAATGTTCAGGAAGTTGGTTGTGTTTAATTTTTACGAATGTGATGGAGATGATAATGATTTCACGAATGTGATGTTGGAGATGATATGATTTTACGAATGTGATGGTGGTTGTGATGATGATTTTACGAATGTGATAGTGGTTATGATGATGATTTTACGAATGTGACTAATCTTAAAAACTTACCTTTAGATTTCCTTCTTTAATTATAGACCTGTTACTGATATTACTTTCATCTTTTGAATAATGGAATATGTAGTTAATAATCATTTGCACGTGTAAGTCTCAATATAAATTATTTCCTAAGTAATTATCGGGAATGGTATATTAATTGAACCTGAGCGCAACAGTTTACGATCGTCTTGTTCTCACTCCTTAACTTATATTAGCGGATAAACTAGTTGTCAATGCAGTTTGCCTGAAAGGCTGTACACGTTGCAAGTAAATGATTTTAGGAGAGGTCGCTATATGCCTCTATTCATGGCGATATCTGTGAGTTGATGCGTGATTATTAATTTATAAATAGCGCAAGCGAAGGAATTTGCGGGTTAGGGTTTATAATGTATGATTCTATTCTTACAACTCTATGGTCACATTAGTTAGCTTAAAAGTTAACTTAAACTAAAATAATTAAATTACTTTTGGTTTACACAGCGATAGTATCTTGTGATTGTTTAGTTTAGTTGGTGACTGTTTTTTTTTTATTTCAATGCCTCTATGGCTTTGTCAGTCTTCATCATTTTCATACTTTTAAACGAGATCAAGAAGAAAGTTTCAATAGAGAAAAGGTAATATCGCTGTTGTGGCAGTTGGGGTCTATCTCTATAATTCTACAATGTATAATCTATAATCAATGTAATGTTCAAAGCAAAATCAACTGCTAACTCTCTAACCAACATAACCTAGCTAGCTTGCTAGAGTATCTTTCTATGCCTACCATCAAAGATTGAATTAGTGCTACTGTAATACGCTGTAGTTAGAGGGAGAGATTGATTAGAATAGCAATAGATAGATAGATAGATGGATATATTTTTAACTGGCAAAAAAATCTGTTTCTTGATGCTTCTCTTTCTCTCCTGCTTATATCTATTAGTGGTTTCGTTGTTGTCCAATGTGACGTCATCTGAAAAAGTTCAAAACGACGATAAGGGTAACGTCGGGGTACAATTCCAACGATCCAAGAGTAACTGGCCTGTCCCTGGAGCCAACAAAAACCACTTACACGTTTTTGTGCAGGTGGGTAACAACGTTCAACAAATCTAAATAATTTTTTATTAAATTCTTCAAAATCATTAATAAATTTTATTTGTATAATCAGTCTTTTAATGCAATAAGGTCAAATTACAATAGTAGTTCTATCACTAACATTATAACAAAATGAATTGAAAATATGATTTCAAATTAGAAATTTTCATTAAAAAAAACAAGTATAAATTTAAAAACAAAAATGAATTTAAATTCTTTTAAATACCACATTAAAAAAAGGTCTCAGATCTTCATATAAGTGTCTTCTTTGACTCAAAAAGATATGTCGATTTTTCTCATTTCCTTAAGACCTCGTTGAGTCTCATTAGGCCAGATGTCGTCCTTTTAACAGGTCAATATGCATATTAGTTTTTTAATTGCTTCATTTTCTATATGCAATTTTTTAATTGTTTCAATTTCTGTGTAAATATTTTTAAAAATTTACTAGCTGTTTCAATTTCTACGTTCTTATTTCTTTACTACAACAATCAGGTGACATAACCGATGCAAAATTGAGGAATTTTGAAGGCTCTGAGCAAAATTTAAAAGAATGGCAGATATACCAAAGTATTTTAAACAACTCCAAAATTTTGAAGAAAACTGTCTGGCTTGATACCAGGGGGAACCATGGTCTGTTGTTTTTTGTTGTTGTTGTTGAAGTGGCGTTCTTTGCTGCTGTTATTATTATTTCTATTTTTATTTCTATTATTATTGTCTTTTTCTCACATGACAGATGCCTTTGATGTTAGAGACACCCAGAGCCAAAATAATTACTTCAAGTGAGTAATTAAAGTTTATTATTATTATAATTGCTATTACTATTATTATTTTTAGCTAGTATTAATAGTAGTTTTAGTATTACTTTAAGATGTCTGTATATTATACACACAATTTTTTTTCCCTAGAAAGTACTCAGTAAAAGGGTTAGGCGGACAATTATCGTATCATTATCAGCACCGGACCCCGGATGGAGATGTGACGTCATTCATTGCCGTCGATGCTTGCCTCAATCCCGGCCCTAAAAGGCCCTTCAACTTTTTTGGCATGTTGCAAGAAGTATGTACATGTATTGGTGTATGTGTGTGTGTGATTTTATGCATGTGTGTATGTGCATATAAGCACACACGCACTCACGTATACATGCAAACAAACAAACACTACATACACACACACACACATACATACACAGCAAGAAATTGTTAGACTGAGGAGTTTTCTGAGAAATGCTTCAGAAAGCTCTAATGTTACAATCCTATTTGGTCACTATCCAACGTCTGTTATCAGCAGTCCTAGTTCTGCCTATGTTCGGAGTCTTTTTAGGTTAGTTTTTTTTTCATTTTTCAATTTAATTTCATATACATTCTTGTTTTTATTCATTGTATTAAATAATTTTTTAGTTGTTTTTCGTTAGTTTTTGTTGGTTTTTTGTCGTATTTGTTTTGTTTCTTTAGAGAACTCATTTGTTTATCTTATTTGGTCGAGTTTGCCATATTAATTTTTGGTCGAATTTGCCATATTAATTATTTGGTCGAATTTGCCATATTAATTATTTGGTTGAAATTGCCATATTTATTATTCTATTTTAAGGTCTGGTCTTGCCTATTTCTGTGGCCATTTGCATACCTTTGCTGGGATGCTTCCGAACATGTACACCCATCACAAGGAAGGCTTTCTAGAATTGGAACTTGGTGATTGGAAAGACAGTAGGCTGTATGTCTTTGTGTGCCTGCTAATGTTTCTTACTCTCTCCCTCTCTCTCTCTCTCTCTCTCCTCTCTCTCTCTCTCTCTCTCTCTCTCTCTCTCTCTCTCTCTCTCTCTGTGCGTATTTGGGTGTGTGTTTTTTGTTTTTTTATGTGTGTTTTTTTGTGTTTTTATCAGTTCGTTTGTGTCGGTTGTAGTATCTCATGTTTACTTTCTTGATGACGTCATTCGCAACGTAATATTTGATGACACCAGTTATCGAATTATAGCGCTGGACCACGGCATGATGTCGTTCGTTGACGTCATCAACAAGAGATACCCCATCATCATCGTGACCAATCCCAAAGATGAAAAGTTTGCTGTTGAGGGCAAGGAACCTCTTGAGAATATACATCTATCCACACACATTCGGTGCCCAATTGTTTGTTCCTTTGTTTGTTTGTTTGTTCCTTTGTTCATTTGTTTGTTTGTTTGTTTGATTGTTTGTTCTTTCGATACACAAATACACACGTACATACACAAAAAATCGGCCTCTTCAACCCATTACACACCTACATACACACACACACGCACGTACACAGGCAAACACACACACACGCAGACAGACTCATACGCAGACATACAAAATGAATTGACAGAATCCTCGTATACACGACGTCATCCGTGAGCGTTTCTGTACACGTGGACAACAAATTTTTAGGGGAAGCGATGAGAGTAAATGACGATGACGTCATTTTCGGGGATGGGCGTGATGATGAGGACATGAAGGAAGTCGATTCCAAACTATTGTTAGTCTTTGGTTATTTAAACGATTGAAATGACAAAACAATTTCAATTATTAAGTGACATCATCATAGCAGTCATTACATCATCGTCGTCATCGTCGTCATCACCACTACTAGATTCAAAGACATTGACCAGAGCATGAGTGGCCTGTATGTGTTGCAATGGGACCCCAGCTTGTACAAGCAAGGTTTCCATGTTATCGAAGTTACAGCTGTTGTAAGTGTGTGTGTATATATGTGTGTGTGTGTATATATATATATATATGTGTGTGTGTGTGTGTGTGTGTGTGTGTGTATGTGTTTGTGTGTCTGAAATTTGTTTGTTTGTTTGTTTGTTTATTCGTTTGTTCGTTCGTTCGTTCGTTCGTTTGTTTGTTTGTTTGTTTGTTTGTTTGTTCTTTCGATACACAAATATACGTTCATTCATTCATTCATTTGTTCGTTCGTTCATTCATTTGAAGACTCCTGAACATGGTAAAGCGAAAGTGAAACAGGGATTTTCGATGGATGGTTCTAAGAGTAGTTTTGGTTTTGTGCAGAGATTCGTGCTAAAGATGGATCATACCTATCTTGTAGGTTCAATAATTATTGAATTCATTTCGTCATATTTGAGAATTTAATGGCCTGCATTCATTCATTCATTTTTGTTTTCACTCCTTTGCTCATTCATTCATACACTTGTTCATTCACTCTTCTATTACTCATTCGTTAATTCATTCATTCATTCGTTTGCTTGAAGCAAATCGCTTCATTCATTTTTTGCTTTGGTTATTCATTCATGCATTCAATCATTCATACATTCATTCAATAATTCATTCATTCAATAATTTATTCATTTATTCATTCATATACTCACTCATTCATTCGTTTCTCTTATTTCAAAGTTTAAAGTATGCTTCACACTGGCCTACATTGCCTCCATATTCCCACTCCTATTCTTTAGAATCAACAACGTCAAAATCATGGGTCAGTTGCAAGTAATTGATTGATTGATTGATTGATTGATTGATTGATTGATTGATTTATTGGTTGGTTGGTTGGTTGATTGATTGATTGATTGATTGATTGATTGATTGATTGATTGATTGATTGATTGATTGATTGATTGATTGATTGATTGATTGATTGATTGATTGATTGATTGATTGATTGATTGTTTGATTGCTATCAATCGTTTAGTATCATTAAAAATATAATGACAATTATTATTTATAATAAATTATGTCAATTACTTATAAAATAAAATAATTTTTACGGTTTGAAGTTCTCACCCGTTCAAAAGCGGTAAACATAATATTAAGAACGGTTCACATCTGGTTGCAGAGGTTCTGCTTGTTAACATCTGTCGGTAGGATATACTACCCTCTCCTTACTTACAATCTCTACATTGTTGTCGGTCAGTGGGGCTGTTGTTGTTTGTAGCTATGGATTAAATAGACTGGGGAGGATTTTTTTGTATGGAGATGTGTTGAGTTTTTTAGGGATGTGCGGATGGTTTTTTTTAGAGATATGCGAATGGTTTTCGTTTATTGAAGATGAATGAGCGTGTGCTTTTTTTTGCTATTGAGTCATGTTGGTGATGTTGAAATGATAACATTCATCATGATGATGTTGACCTTGTCGATGTGATGACGGCAATGATGATGGGGATGACGTCACACACGCACACGCGCGCGCACACACGCACACGCACAAACACATTACAGGTCCTTGGTTTATTGGCTACGTGTTATCAGAGCACATTGGAGCTTGCTTTCTGTTTGGAATTGTAGTGGATGGTACATTAATCTACACCTCGCTTACCTACCTGTACGGGTTTTTTCAGGTCTGTTGAATGGCTTGTTTATTGGCTTGTTATTTGGTTCGATGATTGATTGGTCTGTTGGTTGGATATTTGGTTGCTTGATTGGTTGGTTGGTCAGTTTGTTGTTTGGTCGGTTAGTTGGCTAACCAACCGACTTTTTGATTTACCGATTGACAGATTCACTGATGGTTGATTGATTGATCGATTGATTGACAGTTTTATTCATCCCTAAACTAGCTCCTCCTCTTCAACATTCCTCTAATGTTGTACCTCTCGAAGTTTCTCGACCTCTCCAACAACAGCAACAATTGCAGCAGCACTTGCTGTCAAAGCAACAACAACGACAACAATAACAAAAGCTGTTGTAGAAGCAGTAGCAGCAGAAAATGTTGCAGCAACAGTAGCAGCAGCAGCAGAAGATGTTGCAGCAGTAGTAGCAGCAGCAGTAGAAGATGTTGCAGCAGCGGTAGCGGTAACAAAAAATGTTGCAGAAGTAGTAGTAGTAGTAGTACGGGTTGTGGTGTTAACGGCGGGATTCCTTCTTTAAGAGTTGTTTCTCCTATTTTTGAACTGAAGTGTGTAATAGATTTCTATTATTTCTTTGTAAATTTTTTTGCCTACGAACCGATGATGATGATGATGATGATGATGATGATGATGATGATGATGATGATGGTAATGGTAGCAACAACGATGATGATGATGAAAATAATAAATAGGAATGATCTAACATAATAGTATTTAACTTTTATTTCCATGCTTCAAATCGCTTATAACCATATTTTATTGTTGTCACTTGTATCATTATTATTATTATTATTTATATTATTATTATTATCATCATTATCATTATTATGATATCTCATTCATTTTATTCAGTTTATCTCATTCTCACTGGCTTTCTCAATCATTATCATTATTATTATCATTATTATTATTATCATTATTATTATTGTTGTTGTTGTTGTTGTTGTTGTTGTTGTTGTTGTTGTTGTTGTTGTTGTTGTTGTTGTTGTTCACATTTTTATTACTCCTCTTTATATTTATTCCAAAAGTTTTCCGAAAATGATGCAACAGTACGTCCTGGCCCCTATCAGGCATGTCTACAGACACCTCATCCTCTTCGTCGTCGTCATCTTCCAAGTTTATCTCATTCTCACTGGCTTTCTCAAGTTTGTTGTCATTATTATTGTTGTTGTTGCTGTTGTTGCTGCTGCTGTTGTTGCTGTTGTTGTTGTTGCTGCTGCTGTTGTTGCTTTAGTTGTTATTACCATTAATGCTGGGACATACATCTATTTATAACCACTATCACCTTGTTATACTGCTACTGCTGTTACGACTGCTGCTGCTGTTGCTGCAGCTGCTACCACAACTACTACTACTACTAATAATAATATTAATAATAATAATAATAGTTATAATAATAATAACAACAATCACGTATCAGATCGTACGGGTTCCTTGCTTTCATGCTATGTCCATTGAGGACCTGGGCCATCCTGTTGGCTCTCTACCTGCACTATCAAATCCATCGCTACACTCAGTCCAAAACATCGAGTAACCAATTATTATTAACATAATTATAATAATAATTGTAATAATAATTAAATTAGTAGAATAATAATAAGTAATGTATACAGTGTCCTGTCATTTAAAACTAAGAACCCGGCCTTATCGTATAATGATGTTATTGTTGTTGTTATTATTATTATTATTATTATTATTATTATTGTTGTTGTTATATTACTACATCAACAACAACCACATTGCAAATAATCAGCACCATCACAAGCGGCAACAACTACAACAATAATGGCAATGACAACGCCATAAACAACAACTCATTTAGACGCAACGACATTTAACGACAGATCCGATGACGAAGACGATGAAGCGGCACGACAGTGACGTCATTGATGACGTCAACAAAGATGATGATGATGATGATGATAATGATGATGATGAGGAGGAGGAGGATAACAATAATGCCAGCAATTAAAACAAGGCTGATAACGATGATGATGATGAAGATGATGGTGATGAGGACGACGATGAGGATTGCCATAACTCACAAAGTCCATTCTATCAAAGTCCTTGTCTAGGGAATGACATCAATGATACCAATGGTATCAATGAAACCAAAGATAATAAATAATAGGACATCCATTTAGATTAGGAAGTTATTTTTTTTTATTCTTTGATAGTGTAATTGAATATGAAATGACTAAAACTTCAAGATGATGTCTTGCTGCTTATGATGATGGTGGCGGCTGCTAATTATGTTTTCATATGGTGATGATGATAGCAATAATAATGATGAAGATGATAATGGTAGCGATGTATTGGAGTGTTATAAATGTTATTATACAGGCGTATTATAAATATCGTCGCTTAGCTATTATCATTAGTTCGTATTGAGTAGGTATTGTGTATTAATATACATGTGAGTGTGCGTGTGTGTATGTGTGAGTGTGCGCGTGTGTGTGTGTGTCAGTGTGTGTGTGGTGTGTGTGTGTGTGTAAGTGTGAGTGTGTTCTGTTACAGTTATTTCAGTTCATCCCTTCTTGCTGGTTTAAATATTGATATACCAACTGGATAGGTTGAGTTTCACGTTTTAATGGTTTAATTGTATTTAGGTTTAATTGTATTTATGTTTAATTGTATTTATGTTTAATCGTATTTATTATAACTATAATAATAATCGTTATTATTATTTTTATGTTATTATGTTTATTCATAATTTTTTGTAGTATAACAATGATCAAATTTGTTCAAGCTGCCAAAGTATATGTGTGTATACTGCTTTATATGAAATATATGTATATGTATTTATGTATATATTTTCATACATACATACATATATACATACATACATACACGCATACATACATACATGCGTACATATATACCTACATGCATACATAGGTTTATTCATGCTTACTTGATAAACTTAACTTATATTTAACCAAAAGGAACGTTTTAAACGATTGAAATGAATTTGTAAATTTGAAAGATCCATTTTATTTTTTAACGTTTTAAAATAAATATCTTATTTACTACAACTCTTTCTTCTATTTATGCTTAGTAGATGAAAACCGCGAAACAAATGGAAAAAAAATCTTACTTAGGTTTACTTTTAAAATGAAATACTTTTACGTCATCTTCGAGATTACTTCCTGCTAGATTATATTCTCAAATGTTTTTAACCCCTCATCAGAAGAACAGAAAGAAAAAGAATAAAATGAAATGAAGGAATGAAGAGAAAAAGAGAACAAAACAACGACAAAAAGTTTTTCTTTTAAAAGAATTTTTCAGCTCAGCGTTTCGCCACCAACATGGACGTCCCGATTTTAATTTCACGTCACTCAATCCATCGCCCACTTCATTTGTTCTTTCCCATGTTCGTCATTTGTTCGTTCGTTCGCTTGTTAGTTCGTTCGTTTGTTTGTTCGTTCGTTTGTTCGCTTCGCTCTGGTTCTTTCCTCTAGTGTTTGTCTATTCTTCCGTTTGTGTATTTTTTCTGATTTTTTGAAAATAAAATTTTGTTTTATTATTGTTGTTTTTTTTGAAGCAATCGATCGATTGTATACGTGTATGCATGTGTGTGTGTGTGTAGGTGTAGGTGTGCGTGTGTACAACTATTATTATTATTAATATTATTGATAGAATGTAAGGTTGGTTGATATTACCGTATTGAATGATTGGCTGAATGATTAATCAAACGACTGATCGATCGACTGAATTGTTGATTGAATGAACTGTTTCTATACTTTGCTGATTGACTGATCGATCGATTGATTGATTGAATGATTCATTCATTCATTCATTGATTAATTGATTGACTGATTGATGTATTTTTTCTTGCCAAACATCTTGTTCCATCTTAATCCATTTTTAAGACCAATGATAATAAATTAACTTCAAAGTAGATGCTACCCTTCCCTGAACTGCAGCGGGCGATTAACAACAATAAAAAATTTGCATATATCATCTTCGTTTCTTCTTTTTATTATTATTATTGTTTTTGTTGCAGAAGATTTTATTCTTATTTTTCTTATTATTTTTCTTATTATTGTTATTAGAGTCGCCAGGAAAGCACTTAGCAGTTATTGTTTTCTCTGGTTCAACTCGTGAAAGCGATACCAGAGGCGCAAATATTTATACTTCTATGTTCACGTTTCTATGTTAGTAATTCTATGTTCGTATTTCTATGTTTGTAGTTATATGTTCGCCAATGTATGTTTGTGGGTCTGTGTTATCATTCTTTCGCTTGTTCTACTACATCGGTGGCCGTGATTTCAACGTTCCAACTTCTGCTTCTGTCTCATTCTCTATGTGAGCGCGCTTATGTGTGTTGTGTATGTGCGCGTGTGTGGATGTGTTTTTACGTGTATGTGCGCGTGCGTGTGTGTGTGTATGGGAGTATACACAATGATTACAGTATATGTAGGGGCATGTTTTTATCTGAAGAGAGGCAATTATATTATGCAATTTAAAAAGTCAAAGTCAAAATTGACGAAAAGGAGAGAGAGAAAAGAAAGATTGAGAGAAAACAAAGGTGTGATAGGGAAGAAAATAGAGAGAGAGAGAGAGAGAGGAAAGAAGTGAGAGCAAATAGCCGGAAAAGGAGAGATGGGGAGAAGAAGAAGTGAGGGGTGGGACCATTAAACGGCCGTATGAATAAATCAACAGAGTGTGGATAGGTGATTGATTGATGAATGGATGGATGAATGAATAAGTGGATAAATGATGAACGAATGAAAAGCTAGATGGACAAACGGATGGATGAATTGCAATGCAGTGGAATGGATGAATGAAATAATTAAACGACGCTTCGATTAGTTTTATGTATGACAGATTATGGTTAATTTGCTCTATAGCAGAAATAATAATAATATAAAAATAATAATTTTAATTATTAATTATTAATATTATTATAACACATAATTTACGAGGTTGCATATGAATTTTTATATGTGAGATTGTTTTTATGTATTTGAATGTTTTTGTGCGTGTATGTATGTATGTATAGTATATAAGTGTGTGTGTGTGTGTGTGTATGTATGTATGTATGTATGTATGTATGTATGTATGTATGTATGTATGTATGTATGTATGTATGTATGTATGTATGTATGTATGTAGGTAGGTAGGCAGGTAGGTAGGTGGGTAGGTAGGAAGGTAGGTAAGTTGGTAACCATGTACGTATGTATGTATGTATGTACGTGTATGTGTGTGTGGGTGTGTTTGTGTGTGTGTCTGTGTGCATGTTTGTCTGTGTGCATGTATTTATGTTTGTGTGTAAAGAAGAAGTAACAGGACAGATTAGTTCATCAGTGATAATGGCACTGAAATTAAGATTGATGTTTAGCGTGTATCCTGTTGCGTATGTCTTCGTGTTTGTGTCTCTGTGTGTCTGTGCCTGTGTGCGTCTGTGTGTGTTTGTGTGTGTGTGTTCGTGTGTGTGTGTGTGTGTGTGTGTTTGTGTCTGCGTTATATATATATATATATATACATATATGTGTGTGTGTGTTTGTGTGTGTGTGTTGTGTATGTGTGGTGTGTAATGTGTTCATAGAGATTTGCTTTTTTCTTAGATTTTATACATTTTCGTCAATTGCAAGCAGCATCCACTACCACCACCATCATCATCGCCACCAACACGTCACCATCGTCGTCGTAGCAACACTATTTAAATTAATTAATTGATTCTTTGCTTCATTTATTTATCTATGGACTAATATGGAGAATAAACAAACATGTCACAGCCATTTTTAGATGCGTGTTTGTTGACCGCACAACAAGTAGGCACACGATTACATACAAACATACATACAAACATACAAATATACATACATACATACATACATACATACATACATACATACATACATACATACATACATACATACATACATTGATATCGATGGACGGACGGACGGACGGATGGATGGATGGATGGATGGATGGACATACGGAGGATAAATGGATGGATGGATAAATGAGTGAATTAAATGAATGAATAGATGATTAAACGAACGAATAAAAAAATGAATGAATTAACGATTGAAGGAATGAACTAATAGATACATTTTTAACTTAATGATTGACAGATAGAGATGAATGTTTATATATTTTAAATTTTGTATGAACAAACGAATCAACAATAATATGAACAAACGAACGAACGAACGAATAAACGAACGAACAAACGAATCAATGAATAATGAGATAAATGACAGATAACTTAGTAGAATTAATGAATAAAGATATAGATGAATAAAAATAAAAATATTTAAACTGTAAAATAATGAGGCCTTTTAAATCATCGGCAAATTTTAAAATTATGATTTCAGGCATACATATGATAATAGCGTTTCATCAATAGCTGCTCTGCAAATAATCATCAGCATTCGTTTGAGATCACGACGTTTACAACAGTGACAGATAAACTGTATTATTGTTGTTATTAAGAATTAGTCGTTGTAGAAGCAGCTGCAACAGCAGCTGTAGTAGTGACAGCAACAGCTATAGCAGTAGTAGTAAAAGTAGTAGTAGTTGTTGTTGTTGTAGTAGTAGTTGTTGTAGTAGTAGTGGTAGTTGTAGTAGTAGTAGTAGTAGTAGTAGTAGTAGTAGTAGTAGTAGTAGTAGTAGTAGTAATAGTAGTAGTGGTGGTGGTAGTAGTAGTAGTAGTAGTAGGAGACAGACATCATTTAAGATCCACTGCATGATCGGCTATATCGTCTCTCAATGGATATTTGCAGGCAAATTTTTTTCCTTCTTTTACACATTAGCATGAAAATGATGATGACGATGGTGACGATGGTGATGATGATGGTGATGATGGTGATGATGGTGATGATGACTACAACGATGACGGTGATGATGATAATAGTAGCCTGGGAAACAACTGGATATATAAATTCA